GTATGGGACTGACCCCAAAACAGACATATAGACCACTTTAACAGAATAGAAAGCCTAGAAATGAATACACTTATATGGACAACTACTCTATGACAAATGAGGCAAGAATATCCAACAGGGGAAAGACAGCTTTTTCAATAGGTGTTAGTAGGAAAAATGCACAGCTACAGGCAAAAGAATTAAACTGGACTACTTTCTCACACCATACACAAAAATAAACTCAAAATGGATTAAAGACTTAACTGTAAGACCTGAAATCATAAAACGTCTACAGAAAAACAAAGGCATTAAGCTCTGTGACATTGGTCTTAGTAGTATTTTTTGGTGGGTAATATCTCCTTAGGCAAGGGCAACAAAAGCAAAAATACATAAAAGGAACTCTACCAAACTCAAAAGTGTTCGCACAGTGAAGGAAACTATCAACAAAACAAAATGTAGCATACCAAATAGAGTATTTCAAATCATATACGTGACTGAGAGGTTAATACCTGACATATATAAAGAACTCACATAACTCAACAGAAAAAAAAATCTGATTAAAATCGAGTAGAGCATTTGAATAGGTGTTTTTCCAAAGAAGACATATGGATGGCCAACAGGCACATGAAAAGATGCTCAACATCACTAACCGTCAGGGAAATACAAATCAAAACCATAATGAGATATCATCTTATACCTGTCAGGATAGCTATTATCAAAAAGACAACAAAGAAGAAGTGTTGGTAAGGATGTGGAGAAAATGGAACACTTGTGCCTGTTGGTGGGAATGTAAATTGTTACAAACACTACGGAAAACAGTATGGAGACTTCTGAAAAAACTAAAAGCAGACTACCACACACTACAGTAATTCTACTTTGTGGTATTTTCCCAAAGAAAATTAAAACACTAATTCAAAAATATATATCCACCCCTATATTCATTGCAGTATTACTTTCCATAGCCAAGATATGGAAGCAACTAAGTGCCCATCAATAGATGAAAAGATGAAGAAGATATGGGGTGTGTGTGTGTGTGTACATACATATATACACATACATACATATGCACACATACATAAATACAATGGAATATTCTTCAGCCAGAAAGAGAATGAACTCTTGCCATTTGTAACATCATGGATGGACCTGGACAGTATCATGCTACGTCAGACAAGGGAAGACAAATACTTATGATTTAACTTCTGTGTATAATCTAAAAAACAAATGAACAAACATAACTAAATATAAACAGAGTCATAGATGTAGATAACAAACTGGTGGTTTCCACAGAGGAAGGGAGTGAGAGGAGGAGAGAAGTAGGTGAGGGAGACTAAGAGGTACAAACTTTCAATTACACAATAAATGTGTCACAGGCATGTAATGTAGTGTGGGGACTACGACTCAATAATTATGTAATGTCTTTATGTGGTGACAGATGGTAACTAGAATTATCTTGGTGAACATTTTGAAATGTACAGAAATAGCAGATCACTATATTTATACCAGGAAATAACATAGTGTTGTAGGTCAATTATACCTCAAAATCAAACAAATAACCCAAAACTCATAGAACAAGAGATTAGATTTGTGGTTACCAGAGGTGGAGGTTGGAGGAGGGGGAATTGGATGAAGGCAGTCAAAAGGTACAAACTTACTGTTATAAGAAAAATAAGTACTAGGGGTATAATACACAACATGATAAATGTAATTTACACTGCTGTATGTTATATAGGAAAGTTAAGAGAGTAAATCCTAAGAATTTTCATCAGAAGGAAAATATTTTTCTCTATTTCTTTAACTTTGTATCTATATGAGATGATGGATGCTCACAAATTTATTGCTGTAATCATTTCATGATGTATGGAAGTCAAAACATTATTTTGTACACCTTAAACTTACACAGTGCTGTATGTCAATTTTATCTCAATAAAACTGAAAGAAAAAAAAAGAGCACAGAAATAAATTTACACATATAGGATTAATTTGCAACAAAGGAATCATCAGCCAAAAATAAATGATGGGGAAAGAACAGTCACTTCAATAAACACTGCTGGGAAAACTGGACAGCTACATGCATAAGAATAAAACTGGACCACTATCTTATACCATATACAAAAAACAACTGAAAATGGATCAAAGGCTTGAACATAAAATCTGACATAAAACTCCTAGAAGAAAATGTAGGTGGTAAGCTCACTGTCATCGGTCTTGGATATTTTTTTGGATTTGATATCAAAAGTAAAGGCAACAAAAGCAAAAACAAGTGAGTGGGACTACAATAAACTAAAAATAAAAGCTTTTGTACAGCAAAGGAAATCATCAACAAAATAAAAAGGCAACTTATCAAATGGGAGAAAATATGCATGAACCATATATGAGATTAAGGAGTGAATGTCTAAAATATATAAAGAACTCATTCAACTCAACAGGGAAAAAATGATTAAAATTGGGAAGACTCTGAATAGACATTTTTCCAAAGAAGATATCCAAATGGCCAACGGGTACTGAAAATGTGCTTATCATCACTAATCATTAGGGAAATGCAAATCAAAACCACAATGAGATAACACCTTACACCTGTTAGAATGGCTATTCTTGAAAAGATAAGATATAACAAGTGTTTACGAAAATGTGGAGAAAAATGAACACTTGTGCACTGTTGATGGGAATGTAAACTGGTGTAGCCACTAAGGAAAACAGTATGGAGATTCCTTAAATAATTAAGAATAGAACTACCATATGATACAGCAATTCCACTTCTGGGTATTTGCCTCAAAGGAGCAAAAACACTAGCTCATAAAGATATATGTACCCCCCTCATATTCATTGTAGCATTATTTATAATAGCTAAGGCAGGAAAACAACCTTAGTGTACACTGAAGAACTGATAAAGAAAATGTGTTATATACATAAAATGGGTTATTATTCAGCCATATAAAAGAATGAAAAATGCCCCTTATGACAACATGGATAGACCTTGAGGGCATTATGCTTAAGTGAAGTAAGTCAAACAAAGAAAAATAACTACCACATGACCTCACTTATATGTGAAAGATAAAAAACAAACAAACTGAACTCATAGATACAAAGAACAGACTGGTGGTTGCCAGAGGAAGGGGGTGATGGGTGAACAAAATGGGTGAAAATGTAAAAAAGGTAAAAATTTCCAGTTATAAAACAAACATGTCCTGTGGATGTAATGTATACAGCACAGTGACTATAGTTAATAAACTATATTGTATGTTTGAAAGTTATTAAGAGTATTTCTTAAAATTTTTCATTTCCTACAAAAAATTGTAACTATGTATGATGGTTAATATTAACTAGACATCCTATGGTGATCATTTCACAATATACAGAAACAGTGAATCATTATGCTATACCTAAAACAAATGTAATATTATATTTCATTTATATCTCAATTAAAAATTTTTAAAAACTGGGAGAAATTTTGTAAAGAAATGAAATATTTTTATATTTCTAACACTGTGGAATAATTTAGAACTAATCCATAAATGAAAACTGCATATAAACTAATGAGAAAACTAAATCCCACAAAATAAAAATGCACAAAGGCAGAAAACTAAAAAGAAAATGAGTTAGTTAAATAAACCAGTTCTGATACTTAATCAATAATTAAAACAAATTCCATCTATAAAATGAATAAAAATGATTCAAAATTAGAATAATTAATGTTGTCAATGGGAGATTAAAATAGAAACTCAAATATCTCTGCTTAGTGGAAACTGTTAGTATCTTTTGAGAAAGTACTTTGGCAATAGACATCATTAATTTTACTAGTTTTATTCTTCTTGACTGAATGCCACTTGTGGGAATTTCCTGTAAGAATGTAGATAAAACACAAATTTCTTCTGTATAGCACAAGGAACTATATTCAGTATCTTGTAATAACCTTTAATGAAAAAGAATATAAAAACGAATATATGTATGTATATGTATGACTGGAACATTATGCTGTACACCAGAGATTCATAATTATAACTGACTGAACTTCAATAAAGAATATAATTCAGAATTCAAAGATTTCTCTGCACTCTTATTCTATAAAAATGGCAAAATTGGAAACACTCATAATGCCTAACAGTAATATGTGGTTAAATAAGTATACTAGAGTATCTTCACGTCAGAAAATATTTTTGAATCATTTTAAATGATTTTCATTAAGGGTTTTAAAAACTTGTCAAAATATTTGTAACCATTTTAAGTGAAAAGAAAAAATATATATATGGTATGAGCATAATAATATAAAAATAAAAATAGGAAAAAAGACAGGGAAGTATACCAAGTGATTGTTACTCAAGAATAAGACTGTATTTTCTACTTTTCTACATTTTTTGTATTTAAAACAAACTGTATTTTACTTCTATAAACAGAAAAATAAACTGTATTATATTTTTTACAAAGCCTCATACTCAAACATAACCCTTTCTCCCCCAAATACCAAATAATGGGTAAGATATGCAACAATTAGGTAAGAGAAACTGGAAGAGCTGAGAGCAGTCCAGGAGTAGGAGTTTGGCCAGAAAAGCTGCTGAGATGGGACACCATTTCTGTCTTCAGAGTTTTAGGAAGCCCCTAAGGACAGAAGGAAGAAGCAGGGGCTAGAGGTGAAGCAGAGACATCAGGGTTCATGGACAGAGATCATGAAGACCAACTAGTGTAGGCATCAGTACTTCAGACAAGAAGAGAAACAAGGTGTCAGGGAGTCACCTGAATAGAAGGACTGGGAAACTGGAAGCACAGAGAAAGCTCCCCACGGAGCCAGATTTAGTCTAAGTGTGAAGGTGAGCACAGGTGGAAGGGAAGTATAAGAGCTGAGGGTGCTGAGCATCCTTACCCCTCCTCAGATTCAGGCCTCTCATCCCCCAGCTGTAGAAAGCCCATTTTGTCCACCCTCCCTTTTATGCCACCAGATCTTTTGAACTTGAGGTAGGATCCATGTAGCTATTACACCAAACAGCCCTTACACAAATGAAAATACAAAAAAAAAACACTCTCACCAGTCAAAGCCATTGTATTCGTTGGAGGATTCTACCCACACGAAAACCAAAAGCACAGACAAGTAAAGTGCAGTAAGTAGCCATGGGTAAAATAGTATCTCCAACTGGGAAAAGAAAGAAAGTCTAATTTAGCTCCATTTATCCATGGTACCTCGGCGACACCTGTATATATTTGTTACAGGTCTGCATAGTTGCTTTGGTATATTACCCTTGCCGGACTGGAGTGACTATCGTATTCTTTTACCCCTATGGAATTTTGTATAAGCCTATTTATAATATTAGACTGAACTGGAATTATGTGTTCACATGTTTATATCTGATCTGACAGTTTCTTCTTCGAGGAAAAGGAACTTCTGTTACATTTCTATGAATTGCCAGTATCTATCATAGTTCCTAAAATGTAGCTGGCTCTCAACAATCATCTGTTGAATTCACTGATCTCTCCATTTACCAAATGTTTGTTCATTGACTCATTCATTCATTCATCCATCATTCATCAATTCATTTTGTCATGTATCTACCTATATTTTTGGGAGGGGAGGCAGTGAGGGAATAAACCTTTTTTTTTTCCAGTAGCTATTTTGCACCAGTACAATGCTAGGGACTTCACAAACTACTATCGTTTACTTTATTTCTCAATACTTCATATAATTTGGCATTGTTAACCTCACTTTACGAAGAAAGAACTAAATCTTAGAGAAGTAAAGTTCTTGACTCAAGATCATACAGCCAAGAAGTGGCAGGGGCATTGCCCAGATCTGTGAGCCCAAAGCCAAGAAGGAGGATAACTTTGTGAAGAAGGTATACAAGTTGAACCTTGAAGACAACCCCCTGCTTCCCTGACTTGCTGCACTGAAAATCCTATCACAAATCAGCCAAGCCAGAGGTTGTTAAACCATTTCCATGAACATTACTGTATCACATGAATAAGAAATTTTGCCTCATTGGGTTACTGCTTTCAATCTGTTAAAATCCCTGCCCTGTATAAATTATGAGGTTATTGCGAAGACTAAGGATAAGGAAATAAAATGGAAACACAGAATACTCCAAAAAGATGAGAGACATTACAGATATTGAGGCACTAAACCACACTTCCTGAGTTTAGGAAAATGAAGAGAACAGGACCTGACTCCAGTTTATGCTCACTCTCTACACAAAACATGTGGGGACGTCTAAAACATGTAGCAGATAAAGTCACTTCTCTGTTCAAAACCCTCCCAGAGCTTTCGACTGCACTGAAACATCATTCAAACTGTGCCATGGCCCAAAGCTCCTACATGATCAACCGTGCCCATCCCTCACCTCATCCTCTTCTGCACACTGACTCCGTTTATGAACTCCAGCCACAGTGATCTTCTTTCTGTTTCTAGAACATGACCAAATCTGTTTCCAGCTCAAGAGCTTTGTATTTCCTGGTTCCTCTGCCTGGAATATTTTTGTCCTGAGATGTATACATGGCTGGCTCTATCTCTTCATATAAGACACTGCTCACATAACACTGTTTCAAAAAGGTCTGTTCTAACCACTCTCCCATCCACCTAGCACATTTTCCTATGTACTATCTCCAAAGCTCTCATCACTAAATGAAACCACCTTTCTTCATTACTGTGTATTACCTAACTCGTCCCACTGCAGGAGGGCCAGAGGCCTTAGTGGTCTTATTCGGTGTGGCACATATTCAATAAACTTGTTTTTGTTGAATGAATCCATTTCCTAATTTTGATTCTCACTGTTGCCACTCTTGCTCAAAAATGTCCAAAAGCTCCTCGCTGCTTATAGGACAAAGTTCAAATATTTTAGCTTGAAATAAAGCTGCTTCATAGTTTGATTAAAATATTCCTTTACAACCCTATCAGTTACGATTTATCACCTTACACGTCCATAAATTCAACACTGGAAATTCATTTTTCCCTTAACACACCACTGTCCTTCTCTGTCTCTGAACTTTCCCCACCTTATTTCCTCCACCCAGAATCCTCTGCACCATCATTCCTACATGTGGAAGACGACTTCCACAAGTCAGTGGCTCCAAGGACAGTAATAATAATAGCTAACATTTATTGAGTGCTAACCATGTGCTAAGCCCAATTCTAAGTGATTTCCACTTTTTACCTCTTCTTTCCTCATAACAAACCTTGTTGGTGAGTACTACTGTTACCACTTCCATCATTGTAATGAGGAATCAATCACCAGAATGTTAGGTAACTTGCCCAAGTTCCATAGTGGTAAAGCTCTAATTTGGAGACAGACAGTGGTGAAGCCATAAATTGATGCCAGGCAGTCTTGCCCCAGAACACAAGGTCTTCACTCTTGCCATATGCTATAATTCTTCCCCTGTGCAGAAATGATGCCTTAAGAATTATTTAGAAAACTTGAGAATTATGTAGTTTAATTCTCTAGCTGTAGAGAGAATCAGAGATACCACATAACCAACACAAAGGCTGGCTTGGAAAGAGAACCAAAACATACTCCCATGCTCTGGTCTAAGGAGTGTTCCATTATACCACACTACCAGGAATGTCACCTTTCCCAAGAAGCCTCCTTCATCTTTCACTCTATGTCCTTCTTTATATCTGTCTCACGACTTACTGTATCATCCCTAAGTAATAAATATCTGTTGAATCAATTTACTCTTCTCCATTTTTCTCATCACTACGCTAGCCCAGGACACCATATCTCTGACTTTGAATACTGCTATTGCTTTCTCTTTAAAGGCAAAGACATCTCCCTGCATACTCTTCTGCCTTCTAATGCATCTTCCACATGATCAAATAATCATTACAGAACATAACTCAGGCAACAACAGAAGCTTAAAATCTTTAAAAAACTCTTTATTCCCTACATGGCAGAAGTCAAATCCTTAAAACCACACAATATCTGTCCCACCTCCCTCACCAGTTTCATTTTCCATCACTTCTCCATTCGTATCTTCTGCTCTACCTAAAATAAACCTTCTACCAACGCCCTCTGACTCCTCCTCTATTTCTTCTGGATCCTCTATTCTTTATGTATGCAATTCTTAACATCTTTCACCTTCTAAATAAACTTATTTTCAGTACTGCCATTGCACATGGACGCAAGTATGCATACAGAGGCACACACACATACAATTATAACACTTCTTTCATTGTCCATGTTCCCCATATCTAAAAAACTATGGTCCAGCTCCTCCCCATCTCTCTGTACCAAAGAGCAGCAGCAGAGTGGACGTCTAGATTTTCTTCTCTGTTCAGCTTCCAACTTGCAGCTGTAGCAGCCAGTAAGGAAATTAAGATAGCATTCGTAGTTGAAGTTGTGTTTAATCCATGAATTGAAGTTTCTCCATCTTCCTGTCTCCTGGCTCTCAGTCTCAATGTTGTTTACGTTATGCATGGTTCACCCTTTTGCTGGAATGATAAATAAAAGTCAGAATCCCGTAGCTATTTTGAATGTTTCCTACCCAACCATTCTACAGAAAATTCCATCAAAAATAGATGAATTTTTGAAAGTTTATAATCTAGGATAATGCCCTGGATTTGGTGTCGAAGAGTAGAGCTCCCTCCCATCTTTCCCAGTAACTAGTTGAGTGTTTACTGCCGTCATTTCACCACTCAATGTTTAGTTTTCTCACTGCTAAAATGGTATCATGTTCCCTGTTCTAGCCTAATAAAGATACTGAAAAACATCAAATTAGATAATAGGTATGAATGTATTTTTAAAACTATAGTATGCTATTGAAGCAACCTGAGAACCGAGGTATGGGTGAGGTATATGAAAAAATACAGTCCTTGAATGCTGAGTTACTCTGACACACAGATGCCTGCCCCTTCACTTTCTCTCCTGTCACATATGGCTTTTTTAGAGTTAGCCTCAATTAAAAATGATGGAATATCTAAAATAGCAATGGCTGAAAAAGACAAGTTTATTTTTGCTTTTGCCAACAAAAAATTTTCAAAGGTATAAAGAAAAATTATGTGGTATGTGGCTTCACAATGTCATTAGAACACAAACATCCTCCATTCTGCTCTTCCACTACAGCACATGACTTCCTTCTCAGGGTACAAAATGGCTGCTTAAGCTATATCTATCACTCCAAATTCTCAGTAGGAGGAAGGAACAGAGAAGGGTGGTCCCCCTTATTTTAAGGATATTTCAAGAAGTTGAACAAGACATTTCACTAGGAGGGATTTTCTTACTAGTAAAACATGAAAAGCAGATATTGAAAGACATCTAGCTGTCACTATTGCATTTTCTCATCCCACTGTGACAGGATGAAGTTCTCATACACAGGAACTTCCAGAGAATGTGTGGAACTGGGGATGGGAAGAAAAAATTAAATCAAACAAAAAAGTATTAAGACCGATCCCAGGCAATATTCTCTGCCCCTGAAAACTTTCTGTTGTGCAACACTTTATTTTTTGTGAAAAGCACTTTAGTGTTGCAGTCACGAGTGCGTAGTCTGAATGTCCACTTTCGGTGAAAATGGAGTAACAAGGCCTGGGGTACAGCTCCCACATTAAGTGATTTTAAAACTGGGCAAAATATGAAACAACAGGTTTTGGACAGCATACAATAGTCAGTGAAGTATAGCAATCCTCAAGAGAGGGAAAACAAAGGAAGTGAGTGTTACGAATGTTCCACTCAGAATCTGGTTAGAGTTTTCAGGGTGAAGTACGTGGTCTGAGCATGCAGTGGAGCCTGGAAGTATCCCAGAACTGAGTAGAAAGAAATTGGAGTTTGGGGAGTTAAGTGTCCCCTCTATGTATCCCCTATGTCTCTGACTCAATACTAATCAGTATATTCTCTCAAATAAATTGCCTGAGGGTAGGGAGAGAACGACACAAGAGGAAGTGGGGACTCAATCTCCAGGACTCACAAAAGATTGGGAATAGTTGGTGTTTCCATCAGAGCAGAAAAACCTTGTAACATGCAGCACCAGGTAGCATACTCGGAAGAATGGAAAAAAATGGGCCTGTAATAAGGGCTGCTATGGTCTGGCCAAACTTAAAAGGTGAGCTTCAAAATAATCCAAATATTTCCAAGTTACTTGACTGGGTTCTGGAACAAAGATTAAAAAAATGTTTTTAATTAAAAAAAAAGAAGCCAAGAAAGCAAAATTCACAATGTCCAGCATCCAATAAAAAATACCAGGCACAAAAAAAGCAAAAATTTGCAACCCATAAATAGGAAAAATCAATTAAGAACAATTCAGAAATGTCTCAGATGACAGGTTTTAGTAGGCAAGGACACTGAAACATCATTACAAATATATCCCTTATGTTCAAGACAGTAGAGGAAAGCAAACATTTTAAGGGAAGAGAGGAAGGTATTTTTAAAAGATGTAAAGTGAACTTCTAGAGATGAAAAATAGAATGTCTAAGATGAAAAATACACTGGTAAGATTAAGAAAAGATTACATGCTTCAGAAGAAAATGTTAGAGAATATGAGAATTTGAAAAAAAGAAGAGAGAAACTGTGAGCTGCAGAGCAACTATAAGCATTCTAAGATAAATGTAACTGGAGTTGCTGAAAGAGAGCTAGAAAGTAAATGCAAAAATAGTACCTGAAGAATCAAAGGCTGGAAAATTAGTTAAATTTGATAAAAATTTAAACCTACAGACCAAAAAGCACAACAAACTACAAGAAAAAGGCACATACAGAAAACTACAAAACACACCATAATAAAGATGCTTAAAAACACTGATAAAATCTCCAAATCAGCCAGAGAAGGACATGTAGAGGAATAAACTTTGGACTTTTGGACATTTTTCCAGTAAGAATGATTTCTGTTGAAAAAATAGAAGTCAGCAAACAGTAAAGCAACATCTTTAAAAAACTGAAGAAGTAAAAAACAAAACAAAATGTTAACTTACAAATTGAGCGAACTCAGCAAAAAGCATTAGAAAAAAGAGTGAAACAAATATCTTTTCAGATATTCAAAACTGGATTAATCAATCAACAGGTGACTTCTAATACAAGAAATGTTAAAGAATGTCTTTCAGAAAGAATTGAAAAGGTGCCAGGTTGGAATGAACATCTAAATAAAGGAATGGGGTGCACTGGAAATACTAAATATATGGGTAGATATAAAAGAATATTTTTCTTATTTATAAAATCTCTTTAAAAGATAATTGAATGTTTGAAGAAAAAATTACAACCATGAACACTTCAGTTTTAACAACTGTAGAAGTAAAATTTGTAATAGTTAAAAGGGCAGAAGCAGGAAAATCAAAGTGTACTGTCTGTTGTAAAGCTCTTTACTATATGTGAAATGGTATAGAATTATTTAAAGGTAGACTTGGATAAGTTAAAGACACATACGATAAAAGACTTCAACATGGCAGAGTAGTAGGACCATGAGCTCTCCTCTCCTCACGACAACAAAACCACAACTGACTGCTAAATAACCATTGAAAAATAAAGACTGGAAGCTAGTATATATTTTATATATATATATTTATCTTTTTCAACTGTAAACATAAAGAGGGAACCACATCGGGACAATACATCGAGACGGTAGAAGGGGTGTCCTCACAATATAATCGGGCCCCACATCCCCTGGGCAGGCGACCCACAGCTGAAGAATAATTAAGTCACAGAGGCCCTTTCACAGGAGTGAGAGTTCTAAGCCCCATGTCAGGCTCCTCAGCCGGGGTTCTGGCATTGGGAGGAGGAGACCCCAGGACATCTCGTTTTAAAGGCCAGTGGGACTTAACTCCAGGACCCCCACAGGACCAGGGGAAACAGAGACTTCATTCTCTTGGGAAGTATACATAGAATCTTGCATGCACCAGGTCCAAGGGCAGAGGCAGTGATTTCATAGGTACCCAGGCCAGACCTGTCTGCTGGTTTTGGAAGGCCTCCTGGGGAGGCTAGGGATGGCTGTGGATCACCCAGGGGACATAAAAGCTGGTGGCGGACATTCCAGGAGTGTTTATCTACATAGCTTTCCTGGAGGCTGACATCTTGATTGGATCATTAGCTCCAAGACCTAGCCCAACCCAACAGCCTGTAGGCTTAATGGCTGGGAAGCCTCAGACCAAACAACATACAGGGTGGGAACACAGCCCCAACTATCAGCAGACTTCCTAAGCCACAAACACCTCTAAACACAGTTCTACCCACCAGAGGTCCAGGATCAAGCTTCACCCAGTAGTGCACAGGTACCAGCTCCTCCTGCCAGGAAACCTGCATAAGCCTCAAGTCCAGCCTCATCCACTAGGGGGCAGATACTACAAATAAAACAACAATCCCAAAGCCCGTGGAAGGAATCCACAAACACAGACCAGACTCTACACTGGAACCAGCTGGACCTGGCCCTTGAGTGACAAGAGAGGGGTGTACTGCTGGGATACAGGATGTCTCCCTCAGAGGGCCACGTCCCCAAGGTCGAGAAACGTAACTACCTAAAAATATTAATAGAAAGATAGTATGAGGGGGCAGAGGAGTATCTTTCAGGCCAAGGCACAAGATAAAATCCCAGAAGAAGAAACAAATGATGAGGAGACAGGCAATTTAACTGAGAAAGAGTTTTGAGTAATGATGGTGAAGATGTTCAGAGAACTCAAGAGGAATATAGATGTACAAAGCAAAGTTTTTAGCTAAGAGTTGCAAAATATAAAGAATACCCAAACAGAATCGATGAATAAAATTACTGAAATGAATAACACTAGAAAGAACCAAAAATAGACTAAAGGAGGCAGAAGAATGGATCAGTGAGCTAGAAGACAGATTAGTGGAAATCAATACTGCAGAACAAAGACAAAAGAATGAAAAGAAATGACAAATATGAAAATGAATATATGTATGTATATGCATGACTGGAACATTGTAATTGACTATACTTCAATTAAAAAATTTTTTTTTTAATTTTTCAAAAAGAAAAGAAAGGAAGATTTGTTTAAGAGAACTCTGGGACAACATGAAATACACTAATATTCACATTATAGGGATCCCAGAAAGAAAAGAGACAGAAAGGACCTGAGAAAATTTTTGAAGAGATAATAACTGAAAAATTCTCCAACTTGGGAAAGAACACAATCACCCGAGTCCAGGTAGTGCAAAAAATTCCACACAGGATCGACCAAAAGAGGAACACAACAAGGCACATAGCAATCAAGTTGACAAAAATTAAAGGTAAGGAGAAAATATTAAAATAAGCAAGAGAAAAGCAACAAGTAACATACAAGGGAACTCCTAGAAGGTTATTAGCTGATTTTTCAGCAGAAACTGAAGGGAGCAGCACAATATATTTAAAATAATGAAAGGAAAAAAACTTACAACCAAGAATACTCTATCCAGCAAGGCTCTTGTTCAGATTTGATGGAAAAAATCAGAAGCTTCACAGATAGACAATAGCTAAAACAATTCAGCACCACCAAACCAGGTTTACTACAATTGT